TTGTAGATCATATGTCAATGCAACAGGAGGCAATTTACGACACTTGTACTTATTAAACTAGTAAAAAAGGAAAGAGATTGTTAACTAAACCTGTGTTTATAAAACTGTGAATTGTCGTAAACACAACAGGAGGCAATTTACGACACTTGTACTTTTTAGTTGGCGCTGCAATTGCAGTGCCAATAAGTTGTATATCATATGTCAATGCCTTTAGTTGGCGCTGCACTTGCAGTGCCAATAAGTTGTAGATCATATGTCAATGCCTTTAGTTGGCGCTGCAATTGCAGTGCCAATAAGTTGTAGATCATATGTCAATGCCTTTATTTAGTTGGCGCTGCAATTGCAGTGCCAATAAGTTGTATGTCATATGTCAATGCCTTTAGTTGGCGCTGCAATTGCAGTGCCAATAAGTTGCATATCATATAATGCCTTTAGTTGGCGCTGCAATTGCAGTGCCAATAAGTTGCATATCATATGTCAATGCCTTTAGTTGGCGCTGCAATTGCAGTGCCAACTAAGTTATACTGTAGATCATATGTCAATGCCTTTACTTTTTAGTTGGCGCTGCAATTATATAGATTTTATGTCAATGCTTTAGGTGACTGTAATTAGTGTAAACTATTTTGTATATAAATGTCAGGATGATGCTAAAACGACCAATTTATATCGAATCTTGCAACACTTCATTTTTTGTGGCAAATTATTGTCTAAATTTGGCTTTTTAGCATTAAGGAAACGGATTTTGTTCATTTGTTGACAATTTTTAGAATTTTGGTCAAATTTGGCATGAATTTTCTTAAATAGAATATTTCACTTTGCTCTGGAACGTGTTTAATATTCTTGTGCAAATAATTCTGATGTTGACCACCATGCAACTGTTAAATAATAAGTGTTTGGTGAGAAAATGGTTTTACATGACAATGCTGACGTTCATCACTAAATGTTGAAAGGGTTAGACTGATAACCAGGAGCACCTGCAAACGATGCAACAATATTTTTATAGGTTGGTTAATAGCTAGGTCATAAAATTTACTTGCCTAGTCACACTACCTTCGATATTTAGTTCTATGGAGTGTGATGTCCAAAATCCTGGGCATACACCTTAATTACAACTCCACAATTAACTGGACTTTATAGTTGGTTAGAGCACTGCACCAGAAAATTCCCATACATTAAATAAATGTGCACAACAGAAAGGGCTGGCTGACCCACATAGTAGCTAGGGCTGAGTAAAATAACCCACTGTGTTCATGTCAAACTCAGTCTTTTGTTTCGAGTTTTTTTCTTCAATTCAGATACTTAGCTCGAGAACAATACTAAATTGTCTGTCGTTTGAAAAATAATTTGCACAAATTGATGAGTTGAGGGAAGGCATAAGCCGTGTTTACACTACGAGCCTAAGCCTGGCAGTAGCTTTCAACCAGATTTTTGCAGTGTAAACGCACTTCGGGTTGGCCTAGACCAGGAAATCTAGGCCACCTGTTCTGATGGTCCCAGATTTCCTGGCCTAGGCCTGACAGAAGTGCGTTTACACAACAAAAATGTAGTCCAAATGTAGTCCAAATGTAGTCCAAATGTACACTACGAGCCTAGGCCCAGGCTTAGGCTCGTAGTGTAAACACGGCTATATATTGTCTTGCCTTTCATATATGTGGGGCTGTATAAAAACGTCTAGAAAACACCTCGGACCTAAAATCCAAAATGTCAACCATTTGATTCGACATTTGCTTTGATTTCTCACTATTTATGTTATAAAAACAGCTTATTTCGTTGTTTTTACAACCCAATTATGTATACTTGATGCTAAAATTCTCCATATTTTATTAATTATACACAGAACAAAGGTTCAAGGTTGTTTTCAATCTTTTCATGGTATAAACAAGAGCAAATTTGTATCGCAAATAAAATAAATATATGTATGTCGATTACCTTTTGAAATAAGTACATTTGAATATTCGTTTCTTGTCTTTTGCTGTCGATAATAAATATTTGCCCACTTGGACATAACAAAATTTCGAAGAGATACATTGCAGAAACTTGCAAGCACTGTGAAAACCGTACCGTGAAAACCAAATATTTTTGCATGCAAAAACAAGGGGGGGGGGAGGGTGGAAACGGCCGTGGGCTCAGAATTGAGCCTGGTCAGTGGTACCTACCATGAAAATAAAGTAAGTGTTGTCATGGAAATGGCGTCATTTTCACTCAAAATCCGCCATGTTTTTGCGGACACTTTGTTGCTTGAACGAAGTATAGGAGCAGGTCCTCCAGTTATTATACAGCTCAGTGGCTGCAATCGACTGGCTAGGAAGATGGCGGACCTGGAGAATGCGCACAAAAAATTGATGGCCCTTCTGGTCTCCTTATTCTTTGATATGATTCAATGTTCAAATAAAATGGCGCACTACATTGTGATTGTCAAAAGTTCAGAAAGTGACCTTCTAGACAGGTTGAACATTCCATTTTATTTATGGTACGCAAAAGGTAATCGTTGTTTACTGTTTATTTTATATTCGGGACTGGGGAATTTAAGCGATGAGAGTTGCAGAACTTGCAAACCTCGCTCACGACCTCACGTTTCACAACTCGGCAATGGTTTAATACAATATTGAATATTCACCATATTAGCCAACAGCATTGACTCTCGTAATCTCATTGTACAACTATTGTGCCACATTAATTATTTAATTAAATCTATTCACAGCAATTAGGCTTCTATAAGTCATACAAATGATGATAGCTTGTAGCCCAGCTTGCCTTTAACCATTGATTCTATACAATGAAGCCAATATAACTAATGTGATTTTGTTGCTAGTTGAGTATGGGACCTATGCATATGGACCTTTTAGATCCTAGAATAGCGCAATTAGTATAAAGTCTCCATAATGAGGTGATAAGACTCTGTTCTTATTTATGCATAACTGTGGACTATTAAGTGACCAAATATTGCGCCTAATGAACTTATTCCACTATCCCAGGTTGACCCACTTTTAAATTTGATTGCGAAACAACTGGGTTATAATTACATGAATTTGCTGGCGAAATAGCATTAACAATTAATGAACTTGAGGTTATAGATTTAGACTAAATGTGTAAAGAAACAATGAAAGGTACATAATTATATATTGTTGGAGTTTAGCAATTTAGAGGATATTTTTACTGCTTTCCTGTTGGCGATTGAATGCGAGTTAATTTAAGCGATTTAATATTAGGATGTTAGGGTTTGTAATCCAAGTGAGAATATATACATTTTAAGACCTAACCAGGAACGACTGCGAAAAATGCAGCACATGGTCCTCTGGTAGGAATTGAACCTACGGCCCTGCGATTCCGGTGCAGCGCTCTAACCAACTGAGCTACAGAGGCCAGCTGTTGAGCTGTAACTGCAAGTTCATGTATATATAGGTAATCGGGTGTGCGGGTTGTGATAAGGTGGACTTCAATAATTTGGATTCTTGCACTTCGCTTGGTGGAATTAATATTAGAATGTTAGGGCTTGTAATCCAAGTGAGAATATATACATTTTAAGATCTAACCAGGAACGACTGCAAAAAATGCAGCACAAGGTCCTCTGGTAGGAATTGAACCTACGGCCCTGCGATTCCGGTGCAGCGCTCTAACCAACTGAGCTACAGAGGCCAGCTGTTGAGCTGTAACTGCAAGTTCATGTATATATAGGTAATCGGGTGTGCGGGTTGTGATAAGGTGGACTTCAATAGAATTTGGATTCTTGCACTTCGCTTGGTGGAATTAATATTAGAATGTTAGGGCTTGTAATCCAAGTGAGAATATATACATTTTAAGATCTAAGCTGGCCTCTGTAGCTCAGTTGGTTAGAGCGCTACACCGGAATCACAGGGCCGTAGGTTCAATTCCTACCAGAGGACCTTGTGCTGCATTTTTCGCAGTCGTTCCTGGTTAGGTCTTAAAATGTATATATTCTCACTTGGATTACAAACCCTAACATTCTAATATTAATTCCACCAAGTGAAATGCAAGAATCCAAATTATTGAAGTCCACCTTATCACAACCCGCACACCTGATTACCTATATATACATGAACTTGCGGTTACAGCTCAAAATGCAGCACATGGTCCTCTGGTACGAATTGAACCTACGGCCCTGCGATTCCGGTGCAGCGCTCTAACCAACTGAGCTACAGAGGCCAGCTGTTGAGCTGTAACCATAAGTTCATGTATACATAGGCCTGTTTTATACGTCGAATTTCGGTCGCGTCGAATGCAATTCAAACAATAGATAATGAAGCTTAATGAGGTATATCATCTCATTATCTATTGTCTTAATTGCATTCGACGCGACCAAAATTCGACGTATAAAACGGGCCTAAGAGAACTTTGGTCAATTTTTACCCGCGAGTCTCGATAAGTTTCAATTACAGTATTACGATTCAAATGTAAATACATCAACAAGTATTTACTCCCCTTTTAAACGAAAACCATCATTGAAATCCTCACAACATAAATGCCGTCAAAACATTACACAAACCAAAACATTCATACATTTACTCACCCATGGCCAAACATTCTGAATTTCACCTGGAGAAAAAACTTGAATATCTTCTGAACTGTTCGTTATTCGCCCCCAAGTCAATATGAGTAAACTACTCTTTGTATTTAAGCGCTTGCATGTAGAACGTTTCGTTTGAATACGGCGAGTATAGAAATATTTATTTTAATTTTCCAAAATATCGAGTTTTACTCGCACGCGCGCGCCACGCTATATACTTGACCAACAAGGAGCACCCGTTGCCAGAAACACGTCATATCACGCGTATAGGGGTACCTATATTGCCTTTGACATTTTAAGACCCCGTTTACACTATACCTGATTACTTTTCATACCGGATTAATTTTTACTCCGAAGTAAAAAATCAAGGGTGTTTACACTATGCCGCTTCGCTCTGTTGCCAGCTCGTGTCTTTCACTGTCGCCATGGAAACAAGTAGCCAACATAACAAAATTTATTAAAAACAAGAAGTAACACCCGTTTTCTTTGTAAAGTATAACTTTGTTTAAAAAGCTTGACCGCCAGACGTTGCTTCGTTTCGCTCTAATCCAAAATTTGAGAGTATTTCTTTAAATTTTGCTCTTTCGAAAGCGAAAAGTCAATGTTATTATCGTTTTCTTTACTTGTATTCCGCAGAAATAGTAAATGGTCGCAAGGCGAAACAAACAACAGCTATAAAGTATTGTAAAAGCGAGCAAATAAAGGCGACAATGTTAAAACATACACGCCAAAACCGATTTTGTACCGAAGCGTACCGGATTAGCCTGTTTACACTGCTCCGGCACATACCGGATTACTTTTCATATCACCTCCAAAGCGGAGTGATTTTTGCTCCGCGTCGCGTACCGGATTACTGTGGCGTAGTGTAAACAGCAGCCGAATCCGGTATGAAAATCGCTACGCTCCGATGCAATCCGGTATAGTGTAAACGGGGCCTAAAATTGTATTTCCGCTTGCGATTAGCTCAGACGAAATGTAAATACGCTAAAAATTTGTAGATGCAAGCTTAAAAATATCACTGTAAATATTGTTTTGGATACGGAGCCGAACAAGACTATTACAAAGACGGCACGGCCCAAGGGGCCAAAGGTATGTTTGACAAAGTTATGTTTATGTTCATAATTTGTTCAGAAAATTAAGTAATTATGTTTACTCTATGTTCATAATTGGTTTAGCAAATTAAGTAATTTGATACTGTTATACGAACTCCTTGAATTTCGAAGACCATAAATCGCTACAATGAATGGCAATATTTTCACATCTACATAGCATCATAGGCGTACCGGGCGGGGGGGGGGCGGGGGGCGGCGGTAGCCCCCCCAGTTTTTTGGGCAGTCGGGCAATATTCGATCAACAGTCGGGCAATTTCGGTTTGCAATAAAAAAAAATGGGACAAATTCTGTCAATTTTGTCTAAAATTAATTAAATTTTTTGGCAAATTTTGTGATTTTTCGAAAATTTGTGTTATGTTTCGAAAAATATTGGTTGTCCGGAAAATTTTTTTGACCCCTAAAATGGTACACAGACCGAAATTTTTTTGGCGACGGGGGGGGGGGAAGTTGCCAAAATAATTTTTCCGGAAACAATTTTTTGGTACTAGTCGGGCAGAATCCCGAAAAGTCGGGCAATTTTCTTTCCGCCCCCCTAATTTTTTCCTTCCGGTACGCCCATGCATAGCATGCACCGAATCGAAGATATGAATCCTGCAGTCATAGTGAGTTAATACCATCTCAGAGTTGCCCTTACTTTGATTTGTCGAAAGCCGCTCTCTTACTCTCCTTCATGCTTTGTGTTTCAAACCAAACTATAATTTTTATCCAATTGTAAAATTAAGAAAAATTTTCGTACTGTGAACAATCATTACTGGTTGACTGAACCATGCGAGAACTTAAATCAAGCCCTACATTAAAACGCCCTTCTCGAAGGCTTTCAATAATTAAATGCAATAGGTAAATAATTCTCAGAATGTGAACACGCACAATACTTACAAGGTCAATTCACTTAACGTAATTACTTCACACATAATTCTTCTCATACAATCCCACTTCTATTGAACTATGTCCAACAATAACAACATTCTTGTGTAATCGTGCCTAACCTCCAGTAAGGAACGTCAACCATTTCTATAACGCCAAACTTTGACCTATATTTTTCATGTTTTTTTTCTTTCTTCTGTCGGCCGGTGTCCTAGCAACCTCGTTCCCAGGCTCTTTTTTGTCCTAGTTGATTTGGACCCCCGTAGATTTTGACCCCCGGTCCATATCCACTAGAAGATATTAATAGTGTAAAATAACTTCAATTTAGCCTATTTGGAAATAGTGATCAGCGGTCTCGAGTTATCATTTCCCCGTTCCTCTGAGGATGACTTTAAAATAAAGTCGAAAATGCACAGTTTCAAACGTTCGTCTTATATTAATTCAAATCTTGAATTTGAAGATGGCATTATTATTCAGAGTTCGTTTCTTTAATTTTTGAACTTTTCTTAAATTTTCTGCTGGCCGTGGCTTTCAAAACACCCTGCCCAGCTTATTTTAGTGAACCTCATAATAAACATCCTAGCATGCAATACTGAATATTGGCTAGATGTAAATACATTTCCTTATTTATTAGAAAACATTGACACAAAATAGAAAGATATTGCCTTTGTTGCATAACAGGAAATGCTTTCATGCAGGTTTCCCAGCGTGTTTGTCATTTTATCAACATTATTATAACCAAATTAACTAAATATTTGAACCTACTTGTTAAGTTCAAGCTGGTCTAACCACAACTGATATACTGTACAACAGCTGTAAAAGCACAGCTCATGTCATGCGATCAGGCTTTCAAAACATAACATTGGAAGAGCGTATAGATTCACTGTACGGCGCAAGAGCTATCAAAATGTGGAAGCCAAACGTGATTGCGGTATTTGTTTCCCAGCATTTCCTTCCAATCGGAACAATATGTATCATTCCTCTTGGAATTCTTTCCCCTACTCCTGCAGTCTACCTTCATGGAAAACTACCTGTAGTCCAGATATGCATTGTAACATTATTTTTTGTTATTGGAACGAAATTTCGTTTAACAGAAATTCAATCTGCTCTACGTTGTTATAAAGAAACTGCCTTTGGAATAATCGTTGTTCTGTTGCTCACTCCAGTTGTTGGAACGAAGTTACTGATGCTACCAAAGTTTCGGAAGGTTCCCAGGCCAGGTTTAGATGCAGAAAATGGTACATTGAACAATAGCTGGACAATTGAGTTACCAGATTTCGGTCCGGAGGAGTTTCGAATTGGTCTACAAATATTTTGCGTTTCTCCATGCGCATCAGCATTTCCTACTGTAGTGGTGAGTGTATTCTAATCATTAGACTAAGAAGATTGTCAGTATGTAAGTTAACTGACGCTGCCGTGGTTTGTCTCTGAGAGCTCTAGTGAACTGTTGAATCCTTTTCCGTCTCATACAAGCAGCTTCAGTAAATATAAAATAAATGTGGTTTGATTCAAATGAGGTCGTTGAGCTACCATAGAACTTATAATTGGTAGTTAAGAATGTTAAAATTTGATTGAAAAATAAAAATGTTCTAGAAATTTGTCTGAACTTCCACCGTCTACGACATCACCAGAGACTGTTTGAATTCATAAAAATATAAGTACTAGAATACATTACCAATGATATGCTAAAAATATACATTGATAGATGAAATTAATGGCGTGTGAAAATGATACTAAAGTGTCCACATTAGAAAAGCAATTCTGCTAGTCCATTGTTTTCCTCTCTAGAGTTGACTTGGGGCTTCACTCTGCGAATATGTGTGGCTTCTTTTGGTCGTTGATTAACTTAATTGGTGTGGTTCGCTTGATTTAAGTTCTCGCATGGTTCAGTCAACCTGTAATAATAACCTTCGCCTTCATTTTTTCCTGAAGCAGAGTAAGAGAGAGGCTTTCAACAAACTAAAGTATACATGGAACAATAATAATACCAATGAAATTTGTTCGACTTAGCGAGGAGTTCGAGTTAACCGGTGTGAATTCCTGTAAAATCGGGTAAAATCCAGGGAAAGTTGGATTTAGTCCGAGTTAGCGGACTAAATAGTTACATGGTAATTAGTTAGTTGCATGGTTCTACTGTACGACCAGTCAGACAATTTAAAAGTTTAAAAGAAACAAATTCCGAATAATAATGACATTTTGAAATTCAAGATTTTGAATTAGTACAAGACAAACTTTGAAACTTTGTTTTGGGGTTTCATTCTGCGTATATGCACTGCTTCTTTCAATCGTGGATTGACTTGATCGTTTGTTAAAACCTTCCAAATGAATTCACTAAGATGTTGCTGTGGCCGAGCTGGCATGTGCCAAGGTGCTCGAAAACTGAGGAAGGCATTTGAGTTACGTGTTCTTTTATTCGATCATGGAGATTTCATATCGTGCTACCTGCATTTATGTAAATTTTTTGGCTGCAATTGCAGAGGATTTTGTATACGACGTTCTGCAGAAAGCAGACGTTATCTTTGGCTACATGGTGCATTATGTTTGGGTGCATGTAGGCTGTCTGATGTCTTTCTTTCTTGGCTAAAATCCGTCTCAATGTGTTGTTGATTTATGTACTATGCGTATGGGAAAACCTTCTCGATTGAAGGGTCGATATTGGACGGTCGATAGCATTTGATATGTAAGGCGTACCCAGATATAGCCAGTCGGTATTATTGTTCGCAGTGCTTTTGTTGGTGGTTATCGGACAAAATCTCATCGACAAACTCATTCGGCTAATCGTTTAATAACAATGTTGCTCTAAAATCTTCCAGGTGTTTGTCTCTATTGCAGGGAACCAAACATCATTTGCTTATACGTTGTACTTCATTGCATATGATTCTTCTCTTGGACTGCATGGATGTGTATAGGTTGGCCTAATGTGCTCTGTTCAAAAATCTAATCGAGACAAACACCTAGAACCATAGCCAAATATATATTAACCTCTGCTTCCTGAAGAACATCGTCTACAAAATTATTTGCTATTGCTTCCAATATGATCGAAAATGAAAGAACATGTAACAGTAACATCATAACAAGCGAACCATGCAGATCAAGTCAATCTACGACTGAAAGAAGCAACGCATCTGTATACGCAATATGAAACCTAAATCAACTCTAGAGAGGAAAGCAATGAACTAGCATAACTACGTTTCTAATGCGGACACTTTTGTGTCATTTTGCACACACCATTATCTCTAATTCATATTTTAAGCATACCATTAGTAGTGTATTCTAGCATTTGTATTTTTATAAATTCGAACAGTATCTGATAATGTCGCAGATGACGAAAGCTCAGACAAATTTTTAAAACACTTTTGTTTTTCAATGATCAAATTTTAACATTCTTGACTAGGCTACCAATTATAAGCTTTTGTAGCTCGACGGCCTCATTTGAATCAAACCACATGATATGTAGTATCATATGCTACTAAATGATAACTTCATACGTTTAATAAAACAAATGTTATTCCGAAAAAGTGTACATTTTAACTACACATTTATTTTGAAAACGGCATACTTCTATTCTATTTGAAGTTTCGATTCATCTTCAGCAGATATTTACAAGACCTCACTGTTATCATATCGAAATATGACATTTTTAAAATAGGTGCATTGGTAAACTTTATTTAATTATTTATTAACTTTGCAACCTTATATACATGAACAAATAGACAATAAATTTACGAATATGCACATAGATGAAGGGAAAATAAGGTTGAAGGTATAGTCAACAGGGGAAGAATCCCATATTAAGACCAACCCAAAAAGGCAAACATTTTTTGGAATAATATTAGTTTTAAACAATTGAACACAGCTTCGCCATTTCGTGCGAAGACCTCTTGCCACAGGGTGTGGGTGGAAGGGCTCAGCAAAACTCCCTGATTTCTTGCAGAAAATATTCAGGGTATAGTATACGTAAGGT